TTTTTTGCGGAACCAGGGATTGAACTCAGGCCCTTGCACTTACTTGCCAGGCAAGTGCTTATTCTACTGAGCTATCTCCCTGGCCCTAGATGCTGGGGATTGAACCACGGTTCCTGCGTGCTTGCCTAAGCTTGTCTAAGCAGGCACTTTAGACTGCTGAGCTATCTCGCCAGCCCTGCACTCCATTCTTGACTGCATCCTAAAATCTGCCTCATAAACCCTTCTCTTGGTCTTCCTCACACATCCTGAAAATTCTTTTTGTGCAATGGGAGTATGAACCTGCTACAAAGGGGGTACAGTGGGCCCAGGAGGTAGCTCAGTGGCACAGCATCTGACTAGCGAATGTGTGGTTGTGGGTTGGATTGCCAGTACTAAAAACAGGAAAGGGGGTTAGGTTCCTTATTTCAGGTCCTCAGGGACCCAGCCCAATGACACTTTCTCCCTTGTGGTGTTAGATCTACCCAAGAAGGGAAAAGGGAAACTGCTCAGTCTCTCCTCCGAGGATGTCAAACCCAGAGGTGAGGCAGTTCTCTACAAACACCAGTGTCCTTGCAGCCTCCCATTTATATTTATGCATGCACAGCCTTTTTTTTGGGGGGGGGTCTTTTTCAGACAGATCTTGCTATGCACTTTAGGCTGGTCTTGAGCTCACTTTGTAGCCCCCAGGCTGGTTTTGAACTCCCAACGATCCTCTTGCCTTAGCCTCCTGAGTGCTGGGATTACAGGCGTGTGCCACCACACCTGGCCATGCACAACCTTTGCTGAAGGTGAAGGACCCTCCATCCTGTCCCCAGGCTGACATCTTTGTTAGTGGAACAGCCATGCTGACAAACCAAGTGACAAGGCTGCACACAGTGTGGGAAGAACTCATCCTCCAGTGCTCTTCGGATTCATGAGCAGACCCACCCTGGGGAGAGAAGCCTTCTGTAGGTAATCTATGCAGATGAACATGGGGCTCTGAAGGCCAACTGAATGTCCGCTGAGTGACATGGGGGGCCCACATCTTGACCATTGAGAACACAGTGGCTGTGTGGGGTGTGGGTGGAAAGAAAGTCTTGGGAATGTTTTCCAAGGAAATTCTACCACATCCAGTGAGCATGGACCTGCTGGTGTAGAACTGGTACATCTGCACACTCAGTGGCAGTCTCCCTACAAAGCCAGTGGGATCCTGAGTGGCAGCTTTCCAACTCTGGCTGTGCCTTTGGGGGCAGCTCCTTGGGAGTGACATGCTGTCTTTAAGAGAGGTGGCTCATGCTCGGGTCAACACTGACACAGAAAACAACAGTTGTTACTGACAGTGTTGCTTAATACCAGTTCCCTTATTTCCTGGAAGAACAGCTAAGCTTCAGGAGAACACAAGAATGAGGATGGAGGAAGTCTCTAGAAGCCCTGCTTTATTTTGGTTTCCTTCAAAAATCCAAATCCCCTCCTGTTTTCTTTTCTTACTGATATGCAAATGATGTTATGCTTGTGACCCAACCTTGGTCATTCCTACAAGCACAACCTTCGTTATGCTGCTTTGCAAAAAATGAAAACAAAGAGAAATTGAAGAGCAGAAAAGAATCATACCAAAATGGAGTAGATATTTTTGTTTTAGAAAGAAGTAGGTCGTGGGGGCTGGGGAGATAGCTCAGTAGAATAAGTGCTTGCCTGGCAAGCACAGGGTCCTGAGTTCAATCCCCAGTACCTAAAAAAAAAAAAGAAAAGAAAAAGAAAAGAAAGAAGTGGGTCTTGCAAAGTAGCTTTATTACTTTTTTTTTGTGTGTGTGCGTGTGTGGAATTGGGGATTGAACTCAGGCTTGTACTTGCCTGGCAAGTGCTTATTCTACTGAGCTATCTCCCCAGCCCCTGCTTTTGTTGTTTTTTTTTAACCCAAGTTCTGTTGTACTCCTCAAGGAAAAGACCACCATGAGACCAGTCCAAGGTCCCAAAGAGCTGTTTACTCTCTCTCTGATATGAAAAAATCATAGAACAACTAGGGAAACCATGCAGGGTAGAGAGAGGATCTCCCACCCCTTGGGCACCAATAGCCTAGACAAGGCGCAGAATGGCCTTGACACCTCAAATCTGGCCCACTGGCCAGCATGCATCAGCCTCTGCATGGCTGTGGTTCTCAGAACATCATTGCCAGGAACAAGTTGGTCATCCGAGACTCCTCCATGGCCAGGGAGCAGAGGTTCATTTCCTCCAGGGACTCAATCTTCATGTCCTTGACCAGTCAGCCCAGCTCGGTGATGGGAACCTGCTCCTCGTCCTTGGCTTTACTGCTGTGAGCTCCAGGAGCTCCCTGGGACCTGCCCACTGCACTGGTGTCAGCTGTCGTTGGTGTTTTCTTGAGGAAGAAGCTGGCTTTATTACTTGCAACAAACTTTATACTCTGAGTGACTCTTTGCAAAGACTGTCACCATGTTGTGGTGTGCCAGTGGGAATCTAGTGAACCACAGTGGGAAAGGCAGCTGCTTAGCCTAACAGTGGCAGTGGGGCACTGCTGGCATCCATGACATCTGCATGCAGGAATACGGGCACAGGCCTGTGCCATTTACCCAGGAACCTGTCTCATATGACTCCCCCAATCCTATACTTGTGTTTTGGTGGGTTTTTTGTTGTTGTTGTTGTTGTTGCTGGGTTGCTTGTTTGTGAGACAGCGTCTTGCTCTGTAATTTAGGCTGGCCTTGAACTCTCTATGGAGCTCCGGCTGGCCTTGAAATCCTGACAATCCTCGTGCCTCAGCCTCACGAGTGTTGTGCTGCTATGTCTATTATTGTTTTTTGTTTGTTTGTTTGTTTGAGTGTATTTAAAAGGAAAAAAAACCCCAGAAAACCAAGGTTGTAGAATTAACAAAAATTCCTTCAGCCTTAGGACCTTAAGTTGATGCCCTCTCATGGATTTATTCAGGTCCTTAGGGAGCCGGTGTGTGTTGCCACTCATGTGTGCAGTTTGTTTGGAGCCCCCTGGGGCGCAGCTATCCCCACACTTCCCAGATCCTTCTTCTTCCCAGCACCAAGAGAGGCGTGCACCCAGGCAGGAATTCTCAGGTGACTTGGACTTTGCCAGCGCCCACTGTGCTGAAGAACTCAGATTTTATTCTTGAAACTCATAAAAGGGAAGTTGGGGAGTTAGCTCAGTGGCACATAAGTGCCTGCCTAGCAAGCACAAGATCCCAAGTCCAGTGCCCAGTGCCCAGTACCACACACACACACACACACACACACAAATTCATAGAAGGGTAAACAGTATCGTAAGTTCAAATCCACTTGCATTCTGGGTGTGTTAGTACAGGCCAATATCCCCAGCACTTAAGAGGCTTAAGCAGGAGGATTTTCCAGCCTAAACTACATAGCAAAACTTTGTCTTAAAAAAAAAAAAATCATTTTTGTCTTTTTGAGATGGGTTGTTTCACCATGAAGCTCAGGCTGGCCTTGAGCTCACTTTGTAGCCCAGGCTGGTCTTGCACTTGTAGGAATCCTCCTGCATCAGCCTCCTGAGTGCTTGGATTACAGGCATGAGCCACCATGCCTGGCATTTATACTCTCTCCTCTCTCTCTCTCTCTCTCTCTCTCTCTCTCTCTCTCTCTCT